CTTTACTAATAAAGAATTCGTGCTGTTTATTCCGTTTCTTTCGCGCAACGATTGACTTATTTTGGAACGATGGCGGCTCTTTTTGTATCGTTTACCTTTAATGCCGCGATAACCAGGTAGGATCAGAGTACAGTCGGAATCTGTAATCGCGAAACGGGATTTCTTCCGAAGGAATGACTTTGCCTTTCTTGACAGATTTATCGGTGCCGCTTTACGTTTCACGTTAATGCGCAGCTCTCTCTCCCCATGCTTTTCCTTCTTACTCTCTTTCTTCTTGTTACTTTTGTCATATTCTTTATCGCCAGCTTGGCTAAAGGCCGAACTTTTATCTAATACTTGGTCATTTATTACGTTTGTCCAAGGCTTATCTGCATTGTTTCGATCGCCCTTTACGTGATACGCCAGCTTTTGTGTCTCCGTATTTACATAAGAATGCATCGATGTTTTTGCCATCTTTCTTTCGCTCGATTTTGACATCTCTCTCTCGTTCTTTTCTCCGTTCGCGATACAAGAGTCTATCACGTAGCTTTGACCAACGAAATTTTTCGATCTTGCAGCGATATTTAAATTTGAGTAATTTAAACTTTTACCATTGTTGACGCCATCGGCATTATTTAATTCTAACACATCGAAGTTTCCACGATTGTTATCGAGCGTAATATTCTTTGCAATATTTTGACTGAACGATGTGACATTTTTCTTCGCGCCTATTTCCCGCTCGGAAGTGTGATGTTCTCCACAATTCTTGGAAATACTTTTGTTCTTCGAGATATCATCGTTACTTTTTGCGTTATAACGTTCAATATCTAAAAACAGCAAAATTTCGATCGTTCTTGTATTGTCAATGAGCAATATAAATATTAAATTGAAAATGATTTTGTGACTTCAAGAATAATTATTCTTGATTTGATTTAAATCAAATATAAGTAAAATATCTGATATGAGTCCCAGCGATTATTGATGCGTGTAAACACAATATATTTATAATCCGCACTGAGAAAGACTCAAAGATCTGAGAATTCAAAATCGAAACGTTTGCGGTCAACTTTGTTGCTATAAATGCGTCGCGATTGTTCGCGAATTAAAGCTTTATAAACATATATATTATTATATTTACGTATTAATCGTGAATACTCATATTGGAATTTTATTTATATTTTATTGAAATAATAAAATTCATTACTATCAAGTGGATATTTTTCATTCTTAGACTCCCTGAAGCTATACATCGAACTGGTATTCTTCGTCAATCCTGTACAAATATTCTCGACAATTTCTTGCCCTTTCTTACTGTCATTTTCGCACACAGACGACATTTGAACATCTTTTTCCATTTGCGTAGGCACACTTGATATTTGTAAAGGTATATCGCGATATGCGACTACAGGAATTTGAACGTTGTAACACTGCAGTGACTGCGCGGACGCAGTTTCTACGTTAACAGGATTGACAGGTAGCGCGTGTATCCTCTTCTCATTAACCATTAAAAACAGCGGCCTATTAGTCTCCTAAGAGACATAAATATACGATAAAAGCCTGCTTTTAATATGGAATGCTAATCATAACGCACGATCGCAAACTGAAACCTTGCATACTTTTTCCTGTTCTTGAGAAAATCTGTTTCCAACGTCATATCGCTCGTTAGTCGCATACTGCAAGGCTGAAATCAATTTGCAATTAAAATTGACTCTAAATTAAGTTAATTGAATACGCAATCGTTTCACGACATAACAATTTTGTATAATTACTTGAACAATGTTTCGCTTCTAAAATGGATTGCTCATCAACAGGATAATCGGTGATCTTGTTCGCCGATTTTGTAGTATTTGATAATAAATTATCTGCAAGCTTTTCAGTTCCTTGCGTGACACGTGTGTCTAACTTTGGCGTTTGTTCATCGTTTTTTGTGGCATAAAATTCATCTGGTTTCTCAGCCTTTTGCCGCGATATCTGTCTACGTTTCATAACAAATCGTATTGGTATGACATGTTAACGAAACGAAACAGATAAAAATATATTAAAATAATGATATTTGAGGAGACACAATATAAATATATGTCTGTATGTGACTTATACATATTATAGAGAGCTGATTTGCTATAAAATCATGAATTATACGTAATCTAAAAACGTAAATCTAAGATAAAGTATATTATCTTGGAAAAATTAATGCCTTCTGAAACGAGGATCAGAACAGCTAGGCAGTCTTTTCGGTATATGTGTGATTGTTTCGCATCCTTGATTTAATCTGGATTTGAGGTGTCTAAAAAAAGAAAAGTAAGAAAGGAAAAATATAGGAAATGCAGCGATACTCTTATCCTCATTGTGACACCAAAGTTATATAATTTACATACAGCAATTTGTCATGTAATTATTTAGCAAGCGATATCTGAAATGCTTGAAACTTACCGACTTGCAACAGTTTGGACTATATTACGACCTTTTCTAGGACTTTCTGTCAAAGTGATCACACATGGAGGTTCAATAATGTCATCGATATTGTTACTTGGATGACGTGGAGGTATTTTAGGCCAAGATGGATCGGAAGGAATCCTAATATTAAGGATACATATGATGGTAACACACAAAAAAGATTGAACGATATCTTATTTACTTAATAATATAATAGTATGTATAATTGTATACCGTAATGTGCCGGTATTAGACTTTTCCGAAATTGCTGATAAATTTTGCTCATTTACTAAAAATATAACATATTAAAAATATTAAGATTATATGTACTATTGTTTTTCCATAGAATATTTTCTATTCTTACCTTTTATGTGCAATTCGAGTGTATTTGTTTGGTTATCGCGTGCCATGTCACGAAATAATATAAGTGTGAATATTTCTTTATATATTGCGCCGCTATTTCAGTAAATCGGAACTTGATACATTAGCCTAAAAAGTTGTATGTACGAGGCACGATTGTGTCAATTCATGTCAATTACATGTTTCTTCAATATCGAACACTGTTTTTTATGCACCCGAATTATAAATTTTGTTTGTCGAGATTCACTTGTCTTGGGAATTATTTTTTTTTTATTATCGCTCAAATATGAATGGATATAGTAGATATACCATAAATGAAATCGTTAAGGATTATATTTTATTATCACATAATTTTTATATAATATGTATACAACTTTAAATTTAATTTTAGAACATAATATTTACACCAAATATACAATAGACATAGTTATAGCCAGTCTTGGGTTTCAATAGAGAGAGAAAATGTGAAATGTTTTTTTTTTTAATTTTGAATACAAGATTACGCGAACAATTTACAACATCCGAACGTTAGCAAATGTCTCTATCGTGGTGGAATCAGATTTCACCATGATTTCTATAATGAACATGATCGAAAAGTACCGAAAAATACGTTTCGATTGGTGTGCGACTTTAACGCACAAATTCAATTTCAAGTCTGGTTATAACATTACAGGAACGATGAATTACTATTTACTCGAAATTCTTTTAATAGATCGCATTATACTATACTCTAAGATATATTTACGCAACATTATTATTTATTGTTATATCACATCACATCATTAATTTAACATTGCAACTGCCCTTTCGTTTGATCTTTTTAATAATTTTTTTTCTTTTGCTTTAAAGATGTTGCTTTCTTACAAACGTGTTTTCTCTTTGAAATATGTATATGTTCTTTGTCTCTTTACAAATAATTATCCCGCTGCTCAAATTTCTCCAATAATGTACTCTAGCATAGATATATGTATATACAATTTTTAAAGACATTTTAAAGACAAAGTCGGAAATTGTAACATTTTTAATAAAAATACGACGTAGCGTAATGCGTCGTTTAATTGAATGAGATCAGTCGACATGTATATCAATTCTTTAAAAGCCGAATACGAATGTTTCGATTTTCAATTGTATACCATGGATAAAAGATGTGAAATGTAAGTTTAATGATTACATTGGACAGCGGTGCACCATATTCCATCTCACAATGTTTTCGCCTTCATTTGTTCGAATAATTAATTCGAAGAATTAAACTAATCTATTACAAAATTTTGAAATTAGTAAACAGTTTACATCGCAGTTTACGATACTCGTTTTACTCATGTATCTTATCTACAGCTTGTTAATATTTGAACACATAGTGATAAAACTTGTGCGTATCGAAGCGGAAGAAAAATTAAATATAAATTTTTTCAGTTGTAACAACCGAACTAAATTACGAAATTAAATCATATTTAATAACGGGACGTGAGCGGATAGATGTGTCATGACTAGACTAGACGCTTGAATATATAAATGAATCATTGTTCTCGCCGAATATATAAAACTTTGATCTCACGTCATTAAGTTTCTACTCTCTATGAGTACTTACTCTTCATTTTACTATCAAATTTTTATTGGTCCGAAGCTTTATAGCACTCCCTTTCTTCACTCTATGTAACCTTAGTAAAACTATCTCATTTATAATACTTTGTGTCTAAAATCAGCCAAATACAATACTAAAAATAATAAGTACAGAACGCACTGGATATACTCTGTTATGAAAACATTACTTTTAGCACGTAGCAGAGTGCTTGTTTGCCTTTGTTAATAAGTTATTCATTCATTAATCATCGTGTTATAAAGCCTTAATAGCATAAAAAATATTACTGTTTAGTGAAAAGTATAGTCTTATGAAGGAATACTTCTTTGATTTTCTTCAACTCTCTATTATATATAATACAATAGTATATACAGATTTTGGTAAAGACACTGAATTTCTGGTTCTTTGCGAATCCAGTTATAGGATAGGGTACAGCATAAGACCCAAACAATGCATATAGTCTCGAAATAACAATTATTATGTTGTTACCAGATCTTAGTGGCACAGCTTATGAAAGCCACATTTATTTGCAGAATAAATTGATAAGAAATGTAAAAAGAGGTAGCTTCAGAAATGCATAATGGACTCGAACAAATAAACCATGTTAATTGCGTTCGTCATAAATTGACTCGCAATCGTTATTGTCCGGCAGTAATCATTTTGTAATGTTAGTACAAAATAAAGAGATACATTCGCGTAGAAAAAGTAGGAGACTTTGTGATAATCATTATTGCACACAATAAGATATAAAACTTACATAAGACGATTTAAATAAAACCGGGTATTTACGGCAAATGGAGGCACGTACTTATCGAGAAATGTGTGCATGTTAATTAAGATGTTATTACAATGATGTATGTAACATACGAGGAGTTTTATCGTATTTTCAATTTTCTCATTATTGTCTTGTTAAGCTTCATGATCACCACTGTCTATTCCTATTAAAGATTCCGTTTGCTCTGCCTCAAGATCTGGAATCCTGAAAATATTGATTTCTTATTTCGTAGTTTATATGTATGTTGTATGTATGTATGTGTGTATAGTACGCGATTAATATGTTATGACATTACAACTCTGGTCAATTAATAATATATTATTTTAATTTATAATATTTATATGTGATGCACGTTTTACCTTGTAGATCTGTTTTTTCTGCATATCCAGATGAAAAACCTTTTAATTAAATCCATAACAGGATCCCAATTGTCATAATAAGATAAAAGAGATACCGTCAGGAATGCTAAAAGCATTGGAATACTTCCCAAATAGAAAATACAAGGGTACTCAACTTTTTTCAAGAGAACATCGGCTACCATTGACATGGGCATTGTTAAGCTTACAGCCATTGTTGCTACGAGAGACGATGTCAAAAAACAACCCCTGTAGATACAATAGAATGCAATTACGTTACATAAAAGTACAAAAGTTGTTATTATTATTACCGTATGTATGACAACACGTTGAATTGTATTAAAATTACCATAGCCAAAGAACTTGGCTCAAAACAGTACCAATTAGACCGTTTATAATTAGGAATGTCCACTGATGGCTATTGGGCCATTCAAACTCTTCCCAGTGACCATAATGAAGAATAAAGAACAAAGGCCACAGAAGTGTTAAATTGAATATTCCCACAAAACCAAAAAACATTGGTATATCCATCTTATCTTCATGATCTACTTTTCTTTTTAAAAATACAATGTATGCAGCATAGAAAAAAGCACTGACTAGAGCTAATATTATGCCCGTTGACATATTATTACTTTCTATAGTTAAATCCGAAATACCGACCAATACCTGCAAATAAAGAAATGTTTTTCAACATATATCGCATAATATCTAACGCATGCATATCTTCTTTTGACTGTATTCCAAAAAATATGTGAAACGTTTATACTAGTTAGACGTTCTTTCTAAGAATTATTTTGTTTACCTGTATTCGCTTGTGTGAATAAACTTGTAACTTACCAGTCCGAAGATACTAACTATCACAGCAGCTAATTTGGACAGCGTAAATTTGTCTCCTCCATTACTGGGAAAAGAAGCAGCGAGAAATAAAGTGAATAAACTGGACGTTGAAGACAATACAGTGACAATTCTAGCTGGAGTTTGTTCCAATGACATCTGGTGTGTATAATTCGCCATGAACCACTAGAAGACAGTATCGATAGCAAGTAATGCCGAGAGAATGATATATTTGATTGATTTCCAAATCGTTACTTACAAATAAACAAAACATAAGAGCTAGCTTAGCCACTTTTTGTACAGAGAATTTGTTAGCTTGTCGTCTCGCTTGTTCTCCAGCTCTGACACTGGCTTGATAACTAAGTCGTGCCAATAAAGCCTCGGTGGCATCACTTTCGGACATATGGCGTACTTCCGCCAGTTTGCTGAATCGTACAGAACGAATGGACGAATCATCACTTTCCGTTCCTGACGAACGATCACAATGATCTGGTGTTTTTATTGGAACAAACGTTGGATCGCTCTATGATAAAATAAATAAATCTATGATAAAAGTCATTATTAGATTAACAGCTGAGCAATAAAATCTTCTATTTCACACACATACATATGTGACGTACATATATGAAAAAAATTTAGTATAGATACGAAATGTTAAGTGAAATAATTACAATCAAATCTTTGGGTTAATATAACCAAAAATAATTTTACTTTTCGAAATATTTAAAAAGTTGACTATATTATTACAATTTCTGTAATACTATATAATACTTACTAGACTTGTATTAGCCTCCGAATAAAAGTTATCATCTTCAACATTGGGATCTATAAACTAAAAAAAAGCAAAATATATACATCAGAGTTTAAGAGATGTATAAGTAGAGAAATAAAAAAAATGTGCTTTAATAAATACCATATATGTTGCAGGTTTATTACATTGTTCCCGCCAGGGTGGCCAAAAGCATAGGCCAAGTAAATAAAATGTAAACATAGATGTTCTTACATATGTACTAAAAAATGGCCTCTCGAATGTTTCATCCCTGTAGATGTACTGAAATGGTACATATTACATTACTTGCAATTTCTTTCATTATTGTATATACAAGAAAAATTCCAAATATATTTAATGATCAATTATATCAACAATTGTAAGTGACAAATGTTGGTATATAAGCTAGTCGTAATATTTGCAGAGAAGACAAAAGATATGGAAAGGTTGATCTTACTTTGGTAAGCTCGGAACTGGAAACCCAAATTATATCGACCAGCAGTAGAACTAAGAGTCCTAGTACCAGTCTTTGAGATTTATTCATCATCGCCGCGAGTTTATGAGGATCCTCCGCCATCCCCTGTTGCCTACGCTGGCGTAATTCCACAGAACAGCTCATCTTGGCTTCTTTTCTTTACCACATTGTATTTATAAGTTTGTCTCTGTAAAGCGATGCAACATTGCAATATCACAGGGCAGATAAAACTTTTATCATTAGAATAGAAACCTTAGTTTAGAGAAAGGTATAACATTAACAATTAATTACACATTCCCTCTTTCTCTCTCTCTCTCTCTCTTTTTCTTGATAGTTGGAGCCTTATAATTAATTACCAGTTGGAAGGGAAAAACTAATCTCCCATGCGTTATGCATCCACAAGCTTGTTTTAGTATAAGAATTCAGGCAGCGAGAATACACAAGCGCGAAATCAAATTCACGTAAGCAGGTGTCAAAGAGTGATAAGCGAGACTTGTAATTTTTTCTCAACGTCACACTGACAAGACACCTAACCTAACCGGCTGGTTGCGGCCTCGGCCTCAGCCGACGTTGATTCCTCATCACATCGCTCTCTTGCTAATAACCGAGCTTCGATCGTATCGGTTTTCACGATTCTTTGCACCTTCCAAGGAAAGAATTATCACGCTTGTTGATCGCGTAACGAAGCAAATCCGCGCTCCACTGCACGTCGTAAGTCGTAACGCATCTGAACGCATCTGACTGAACGCGTCCGTCAGTCGCCTACATCATCTTCCGCATCTTCCTTGTCCTTGGGTCCGTTGGGGCGCTAGTGATAGGTAAAATCGGGGAAAATAGACAATAACACTATCAATAATGCAGGTGCGGCAGCGTTATCGCGTCTGATAACATTCACATGTATCGGTACAATATCCTCTATCTCTCCCAGTTCTTTCTCCCTCGCCGTTTTATTTTCCATTATTTTCAATGTATTTGGCGCGCACTGCGCGTGCATTGCACTTGGCCACTTGCTTACATTGCGTACGACCAATCGCGGCGCAATCGATCCCTTCCGATTCCACGCATTATGCGTGGTCTACAATAATGCGGCAGTACTGCAGTAATGAGATTGTGTAAAAGTAAGAAATCGACCAATCACAGTTGCACGCGAGAAGAATAATCGACTGTAATTGGTCAATTTCTTACTCTTCCTGTTGAATAATTTTAGGCCGAATATTAATGGATAGTACTTAATTAAAAGATAACAATAGTTGAACATTATTTTTACTCTTTCCTTTTCCTAACGGACCGGTTGATTAGTATTATGTTAATAAGTGTTATGCGCGATTAATTGAGGGAATGGAAGAGTTACTTTTACAGTTACTTTTACAGTTACTTTTTATAACAATGTGTTGCAATTTTTTATAATTGTAATGATAACTAACTTATATACGCTTAAGAGGCTAAAATTATTTTAATAGTTTCGCTTTTTAATGCATACTCTGTAAATATTTCATTCTTGTTGTCTATTAAATATTGTGCAAAGACAAATATTATATGCTTCCAAACGCTATAAACAAAAATGCACCCTTAAATATATGTTGAACAGTATTAACGAAATTTGTAAAATTGAACATTGTTAAAAGAAAAATAATTATCTATGCTTGTATAATGTATAAGATATGAAAATAAAAAGTGTTATTATAATTACAATTCATAATAAACAATAAATATATAATATGTTGTAGAAAAAATTATTGCATTTTGAGATACAATAGGCGAAAGGAATATATGAAGCACTTTCTAAATAATTATTACTTAATTTATTTTTACTATAAGCGCACGTATATATATACACGTGTATGTATATTATTAATAGTAATTGTATGTTGATATAATTATATTGTTTATTTATACATATATTTGTTATTATATTGTAGTTCATAATATAATATATATATATATATATAGTCATTTATAGACATTTTACTGTGATACTATAACATTTATTATTGAATGTAAAGTGTAATATATTAAAACGCGTATTTGCTTTTATTTCTTTCATGCTTTTATTTTTTTTTCACATACTTAGTCATCACAGATTGGTTACACAATTCCATACCCAACGAATATAAAAACATCTATGCCACAGTATGGTGCGTGGGAGTGCGCCAAGTGAGTTTACATTTCGTTACCATGGCAATCGAACTTGTCAAACTTTTATTACGAAAACCAGTTGTTAAATGAATAGGCACGGGAGCGAGAGTGATAGTGAAAGAGAGAGAGAGAGAGATACGAAAAAAAAACAAAAAAACTGATACTTTTATTAAAGATTGCCAAGATTAGAGTTTCGTAAAAATGGCAAATGATATTCTCAGCAATGGCCGTTTACGAGAAAACACTGTTGTGCAACGAACAAGAAACGATCAACGCAATCGAGGTATCACTCAATTCAATCAAAACTTTAAATAGTTTAAATAAATAAAACGTATACATAACTCGCGATCGATTGAGTTTTGATATTAGGTTGTTCGGAAAGTTCGTTTTAATTTTTTTTGGCTTAAAATTGTATATACATCTTCGTAAAAAATTAATGAAATTCAAATTTAAAAAAAGGATTTGAAGCTTGAAATCTCTACTTTTGAAAAATTACTATATTTTTTGAATTTCTATGAATTTGGTAATTTTATATAAAAATTTTATATAAAAAAACTACTTATAGCTTCGAAAAAGATGAAATATTTTCTTTTCACTTTGTGGGTCTTTCACGTGCTCAAAAAAAGTTTGCGAAAATTTTCGACTACCTGTCGTGAAAGCTTAGAAGCTTTTCCTACAAAATCGTTTTTTAAAAATGTTTCTACGATTTTTTGTTCCTAAAAGTTATTCACGAGTTAAATAAAAGAACATTTTGATCTTAATTGTTCATAATTCCGTTAAAAATCATCGTGTACCGCAATGAAGAAATCAGATTCTTTTAATAATTAACTCTGAAACTTTTGTATAATCGCAATTTTTGAAAGTAAGTATACAATATACTATTATATTTTGAGCTAGAAAATTTGAAACAAACTTTCCGAACAACCTCATACTGTATACCTTATCTTGTGATGCACGTCACATCAGAATTGCTCTTCGTCAGTTGTAATTTTTCCGTCGTCTTTCTTACTGTTGGTTTAATTTGTTGAACGTAGCACCAGACATAGCAGCAATAGAGAGTCGCAATTGGTTGTTACATCGACATTATACGAGACACGAATACAGTGCTTGCAAGCTACTCATCGAACAGGAATTAATGAAATCCAATGGTCACGAATACGCTAATTATTTAAAGGTTCGATCGAGACTGTTTCTCCGAAAAATCGCATATGAAAATATCATAATATACATTTTACATATACATTTTCTAGTATTATTTTTTATATGCAATATTTTTCGAAAATAATCGGAAACTCTCTATTATATATTATAATTTCAATTATAAATTTCAAAAAATATTCATAGTTTATAAATATAAATATAGGTATATAACTATGAATATACTTATCCTTTTGTTACGCTGTTGTGTCGGATAATGCATAATGATCTTTATAGGGTTTAATTCTTCGAAAGGAGGGCAAGATTCAAGATTCCTTGGATTGTTTTCAAACTGCGTATGATGTGAATTCGACAAATACCGATAACATTAAACAGATAGCAAAATCGCTGTAATTAAAAAAAATTCTTAATATAAATTAATAATTTAAATCTACGACGAATATCACGAATTACTAATGCGAATTATAACGATAATTTTTAGATTGATAATGGGAAGTCACAAACGCGCGATAAACGCATATGCGGAAGCTGAGAAGATATCTGTTCCAGATTGGGAAATATATCATGGCCTTGGCAAGTTATATTTCTTTCACAATGCGATGTATTGTTTTGCACAACACTTCGCCAAGCTTTATAAACTTGCAGATGCACCTATACATATATTATAACTGCATGCATTTCAAGTTTTTGCGTTGAGCACAAGTAAAGTCATGAAATTTAACTGTTAAAATGACACTTTCTGTGCAACGGAATTACTTTCTTTCTCTTCTTCAGGCGAGGCTTATGTGAAATTGAATCAATTACAAGAGGGCAAAAAATATTTTAAAAGATCAACGGAATTAACCAAAAGTGAATTGCCCAATATTGATCTTGCGAGACTCTATCTTTTAGACGATATGATTCCAGAGGCTAGAAATGCTTATACAGCAGCTTTGAAGTAAGTTACATGAATTACAAATCACAGCTGTGAATTGCGCGAATTAGGACTATTAAATTATTTCCATGTACCATTATAAGCTATGAACGAATTAAAGATATTTATTGTCATATGTATATGGTCATTTTTTTATCACTTTCAATATATGTATATGTTTTCTTATCTTGCCGTTGTTCCTCTTAATACAACCTTTCTTGTTTTATCAACCGCTTTCTATTTCCTTTCTTTTGATAGTGTTTCTATCATTTTGATGCAACTTAAACTTTCGTCACTTTCTTTACGCTTAGCGAGAATCCTCAAAGTATAGATGCAGCGACAGAACTGGGTCTCTTATATCTTAGAATCGGAGATACGCAACGAGCATTTCAGCAATTTGGAGCGGCTTTGGCTCATTCACCTAATTGCGTCAAAGCAATCTTACCTATGGCTTATGTAATGCAGGTGCATAAATTTTATAAAAATTCATACATCTCTTTGATAATTTTTCTTTAATTTGCAAAAGAATTTACTCAATTGACAGCTTGTATATTTTAAATTTTAATTATATATTTGTTCAGATTATTTCCATCAAATTAACTTTCAATTGTTCAAATTGATCATTTCGTTTGATTTATAAAGCAGATAATGCGTTATTCCGCTTTGCTAATGTAAATAACTACGAAGACATATTCTATATCACAAATGCATATTCGTCAGATTATTAAGATTTACTTGTTCTAATTTTGGATTCTTCGTAAAATTGGTTTCTTTACTTCGACGAACAGCGTATGTTTTATTTTCCAGAATCACCGAGAATACGACGTGGCCTTATCGAAATATAAAGTTGCGGCACAAACCATTCCAGAATCCCCGATCCTTTGGAACAACATTGGAATGTGCCTTTATGCGAAACAGAAATATGTTGCAGTGAGTCTACTTTTTTTTTTCTTTCACATTTACCTTCATTTTTATCTTTATTGTTTTTTCTTTGAATATTTCCTACTCGAAGCACGCGATATGATTCAGTTTATAACAATACTCGTTAAAAGGAAAAGGACTAAACTTTCACCATGTCCCTTAGAGACGTATACTCTCTAATAGGTGTGTATAAAGAAAAGAGAAACAAAAGACTTTTCCGCTAGCGAGTTATTATATGGTATCGAATTAAAAAATCGATACCAAAACTTAATTTTCTTGTATCTTTTGAACTAAGAATGAGCAAACGAAAATTCCAAATGAGCATTCTTGAGCAAACGAATGCATAAAGAAAAAAAATCGATTTTTTAATATTGGGGGGCTAGTGTGAAGTTGGCCTCCCAAAACATAATTTTCGTATATCTCTTGAATTAAGGGTGAGCAAACGAAAATTCAAACTGAGCATTCGTGAGCAAACGATGCGCAAACGAATGCATGAAGAAAAAAATCAATTTTTTAATATTGGGGGGCCAGCTTCACACAGGTAAGCAGTATTTCGTATTTTCATACAATACGAATTTAATATAATGCAATGATTTTTATTCACGAATTCAATCCACGTTGTTACGTGAGTACTGTTTTGGAAGCGATATGCAATCAGAAAGGAAATGTTTGGATCATTACCGATAAGATAAGATGAAAAACCTTTGGAATATTTCCTAGGCTATCAGTTCATTAAAGCGAGCACATTATTTGAGCCCGATGTCTTGCATTCCGTCATGCAACCTGGGAATTGTTTTTCTTACCACTGGACAGCCTGCATCAGCCGCGATTTATCTATGTGCTGCAGTCAGCGCTGAGCCGAAGAATTCTATGCCATATCTGTTATTGGGTTGTGAGTATGAAAATAAAAAAATTTCAAGTCTTTTTATATTTTATATAATTTTATATAAAGAGCTCCCCCTTTCCCACACATTATCCATAATAAGAGAAGCATTGTATAAGAAGAATATAGTTAGTCTTATATTAGCAATTAGCGCGAAATATAAGAACATCCAAAAGGAATTAAGTCTTGTGCCAGAGTGCTGTTTTTTATTGTCAACAGAATTTTTTTTTAACAATTCTTTTTTTCTCTTTTTATTTCAGTGGCTCTAAAACGTTTGAATGATCTGGAAGGTGCCAAAAGATCATTGACAAAAGCACATGCATTAGCTCCTCAGGATCCATTAATTTTGATTAATTATGCTGTAGTACTCGATGCTCGCGGGAAACAAGCTAATGCCTTTGAAATTTTAACGGCACTCAACGACATTATGGCTGTCGTTGAAGTCGATGTGCAGGTAATTTAAAAATACAAGTATATATACAGTAAGATATCTTTGTGTGTCGTATTAGTTATATGCCATATATTATGTGTATTACATTGATGTATCACAACATACAGATATCACAAATGGCAAACAAGTTATTAAAGAAATTACAACGCGAGAAAACGGAGTCGACTACCAGTCAAGAAATATCAACGGAAAAATATGAAAAACGACAATTGAGCCCTGACGAAGTTTAAAAATCATGTCATTTGTCGTGCGGTATAATATAAAAGTGTTTGTATTATTTGCAAAAATTTTAGGAAAAAAGAATCAACGAAAAGAAATCTTTGCACATTTCAATTGGAGAGTGCGTTTTACGACAAATTAATGATATGTACTACATGTATTTATATTGTTTATATTTTGAAAAATATAACATAGATATATTTAGAATGACAACGGAATGTAAAAAGAGATTGGCTGTGTGCGTAAAAAGAACTATGTGAGTGTGTTGAGTTTATTTATTAAATTTATTGAATTATTGAAAGAAGTTGCTATGTATGCGTATACACATACATTCTGTTGTTATTAACAACAATTTCCTAATATTACATATAACGATCATATAATATCTCGATTTTTACTTAAAGTTTTCTTTATTAATGCGAGTGAAATGAGTACCTACATTTCAACATCATTTACGAGCAGTATAATAGATATATAATAGCAGTAAATAGACAATTGATTATACGAAATGGCTGCGACATAGAACAATATAAGATTTATGCTCTGTTATTTAATAGTGCTGAAATATCTATTAGCTCTCAAAATATGTGGTAACAATTACGAAAGAAACAATCACCCAGAGCAAAAAGTGAACAAAGGAAATAAAAACAACGCATGGTAGAAGAGTTTAACTACACCATGTACCCAAAAATTTAATTTATATAGAAAACCTTTATCGATGGAACATGGTATCTATAATATGATACAATACAATATATTTCCATGATGTTGGTATAGTAATACCGTTCTCGTAAATAGTTTGCACTTTTATCTTGCGCAATAACATTTAATCGCAAACAGCAGTGGCATTCTGGGCAAAACATTAAAGTGAATCGAATAACATTTATTTGGGTGTAGACACAATAGAACAAGGAATAAAAATTTTCAACTTATCAGAAACTATATATATTTAGATGTATCCGATTTCTGATAGAAGGGTTGAAATTTTTCATCCTTGTTTATTTTTAAAATAACTATTTTAATATTATTATCTACACATTTCTTTATGTAGTTATTTTGAAAAGTATATAATCTATTTTAAATATTCTTTATTAATAAATTAATAATTAAAATGTTTAAAAATTTTTCACAAAAAATATCTCCCTTGTGCGAATACTTTTTGTACTCACTGTATGTACTTTTGTTGTCTTTCAATGCTTTGGTGCTTTTTCTTATCTGAGATCAGAAATTCAATTCCCGGCTAAAGTAATATTTTTTGCAATAAATAAATTTATTTACAGATTACCAGCGTATTCAGATTTTTTTATTTTAAAGATACTTGTTGAATATCTATATGAACATCAAAATGTAATTGTAATATAATTTCAGTAGTTTAACTGCGTTTTAAAAGTCCAATAAAATTTTCGGCATGCAGTTTAAATTAATTACGCGTTTAAGAAGAACGCGACTCTACCATTCAACGATTAACGGGTGTAGATTTATGGTTTGGTCTTTCAATATGTAACAATGATACTTTTAGCCAGCCTTTCTCGTGAAAAAATACTATCGTGGATATTGATAATCCTATTAGTAGTGTATAGAAAGATGACTGCATATCGGCTAGGTTAAATGGCACGAAGTTGTCCGTTTTCTTTTTGTTTTGAGTTAATGTTTCTTTGGCCCGTAACTTTTTGCGAACATTAAAGGCATTAACAATGTGTTGGTACCATAACGACGGTAAACCAGCCTGATTCAATTGGCTGATCAATGTGTTTATCTTTTCGTTGAAAATTGAATTTTTGGGCAGCAAATACGACAAGTAGAATGTACCTAGAATTTATAGTATATATACATATAATGTTAATGTTTATTATATGTAGGCATATCTAAGCTTATACATAATTAGAGCTTTTATAAGTATATACTTATTATATTTTTCATACCGGGACATTCTTTAATAAGATAAAGCAATGGCCCACCATCCGCATCAGTCAATTCCTGGCTGATAACAGGAAAATAATTTTCTCTGGCGAATGCCGAAGTGTTACGATAAAGAGCCGTACTGATTACACCATTTACGCCAGTTACATTAAATCGCATTTTCTTTCGTAAGTTTTGCATGAGCGTCGAATCGACATCATTATCATCATAGTCAAAGAGATTAGCCAGGCCAGCGGAAGACAAAGATATTGGCAATCCCGAATCGTCAAGATCGTGAAGACTTTTGATGTCTGGATAATACATGTTATGTGCAAAACTGTTGTACAAAATACCATTAAAGATTCCAACTAAAGTGACGTTAGCAAGAAAAACGCCTGACAGTAATATCCTTTCCGCGTTTGTGTTTGGCAATTTTTGGGGGCAACCAGCGTTCAGTAGAAACGATCGATAGAACGTTGCGCGGAAACTTTTCTTTCTCTTCCTAAAAGTAAATATAGTATACCATCTTCACTTTTCTCACTCATTGTCAATGGAATAATTCGCGTCATTAACGTCGTTCAGATAAGAGTACTGTACCTTTCTGAAGTAAATACTTGCACAAAGTACCATATTAAATAGATGAAAACGTGCGTCAGCATCAAACAGATCCAAATCGATGGCGGAAAAAAGTGATATATTCGAATCCATTTAGGTATCTTAGTTGCTTTAGGGACAGTCATGCATATTCTGTCAAAGTCCACGTATGTACTGAAATCTACATCTTCCTTGGGACTTGTACTGTATTTCTTTACGAAGAAAGATATGAAGCAGATGTCCGTTCTACCATACACTACGTCGCCTGTGTAAGCTGACTATGTACTATCGGATATTCAAAAAAGAGACAGAAACAACAGGATATATATATATATATATATCGCGAATAATTTGAAATATCACACGTATAAGTACCTATAGCACCGACGTACGTTCCATTAGACAATTGATAACCGAACCATTTATTATCCGCCGGATGTACGTATTCTATTTGAAAATTCATGTCTTGAGCGATTGTATTTAGCATTGTCTCGTCAAATTCTTCGAAGATGTCATCATAACTGTAACGTGTACTCGACTGACCTTTCATCGGTTCTGCGATTGTTTGGTTTTGCTTAAAGTAACCCACTTTTAATGTATATCCATTCATATTTTTCGTGCGGCGGTATGTTGAATGCGACAGCTCATCTGACGCTTCTTCCGCTGTTATTACATTTATAATTTCGACTCGACCCCACACTGAAATCAAGCAGACGTGTGTGCTGAATATTTATTATTATCTTTCTTTAAACATACTGAAATTTACGGATGTACGAAATGATTTATGTATCCATCCAACTACTTCACCATAGTCGATGGTCTTGGCATTATGAGGAAAAAGTACGAACCAGAATCGTTGACTTTGGTAAATGGATTGTAAGTGCGAACACTTCGATTAATTCGAACGGTGTCATTTACGAGTGTCGCCTCGGAGACAAAAACCTTTTGCACCTTATGTTCGAGCCACAATGTCTTCAAGATATCGTCGATTCTCGAGTTCAATTCGTTTGACAGATCATGTTCTTCTGGGAGACGAGCGAGCAGCACGATGAATCGATCGTGCGAATTCCATTCGAATGTACCATCCTTCGAAATTTCATCGAAGGAGTGTACACCTCTCGTGAGAATTACGTGCACGTTCCACGTGTTTCTACTGAAGGTTTTATCGCTTCGTATCTTCCGTATCCTTCCAGCTACGTTATTCGATGGCATTACTCGAGAAAGAAACACGTCGCTAGATATGATCTTCCAGATCGATGGCCTTTTCACAACTGCATGAGCTGCATTGTTATTCACGAAAGATGCGAGATTTTCTGAGTCAGATGTGTAAATCCTCGACAAAATCGTTGTCTCGCACTTGCGCGTGATATCGTGTACGAAAGCCTGGAAATATTGCTCGAGAAAAATAGCGCTCCTACTGCTACTGCTACTATTACTGCTCCTCTCGAACACACCGTAAAAATTCACAATTTTAATATATTCCATAGAGCAAACGACGTTGCTCCAAAATTCTACATCGTCGTACCATTGGCAATTGCTGCTTGATACTACTCGTGCATGCAGAAAAGCGAACACCAGCAGAGCAAATTTATAAATTATCTGTAGATAAGAGAATCAATTGAAAATTTACAAGCAATAAGAATTTCACTAATTTATGAACTTTTATTGTAAAAATATAATCAACGTACCATGTTTGCGAATCTCAAGGAGCGCGAGTGCTCTCTTTTATACGATCTAACACTGGCACTGGATCACTTCAAGTTTGTCCTCATACAAATATTTTCTAGTATAGTATATTTACAGTCAAATCATACATTACTCACCTTTATCGTTACTCTTATTGATTCTTTTTTTTCGTTTCTCCCTCGACTATCGTGTCATATCACTTTGGGCACGTCTATCTTCGATCGAGTCTCCTCGAGGGTTTAATACTTCTATATGCTTATAAAGGACACGAATACATTACGCTCTTTAGATTGTGGATAAAGCCCGATAAAAATAAGCTGCTTATTGCCTATCGCCTTATTATTCATTATTTTTCAAGTATTTTTACAACATTCCGAATAGAACTTTAGTCATACTTCGTATTTGATATTCGCACATATACATTATTCTCTTTTGAGATACTTGTACAAAATTTTGTTTTAACAGAATTGCCTACAGAAATTGGCACTGCTAAGTTCAAATAACTTGTATAAATATAAAAACAAACATACGGGATAACAATGGTACATAATAATTTTATTTTTATTGTAAGCGTATTCGATAATATGATACACAGGATGTCCCCTAATTCAAACATCTGAAATATCTCGCCTGATTTTTATATAGCTCTTTCTAACACATATTGAGGTAAAATGTTAAATAACTCATAAACTATTAATTTTTTGACAATCGTATCTTAATACCTTTATGAACAGAATAATTAGAGCGATCATTGTGTAAAAAATATCATACTAGTCCTTATAAAAAAGTGGACGTGACCTTTATATCTTTTTGGCATCTTCTGCACCTAGAAGAAAAACAATATAACCGAAGTCCGTTTCCCTTGAAACCCTTCCACTTTTATCTGAAATATTTCATCCTATCATAAAAATCAGGCGAGATATTTTAGAGTTAGGTGCGATGTATATAATAATTGTATTATCGTATTGGTTGCTTACATTTCTTATCACATTTTTAATTAATTTTATTCTCTTGGGTAATAATAGGAATTATAGGGGAAAATAGAAGAGGAAATAGAATGTTTTCGTTTGTAACGGAAAGTAACATTGGTATTGACATGAGTGAGAATAATTGCGTCATATAACTTAAGCTTTTAATTTAATGACACGTCAACTTGACGTATATGTGAAGGGAAGTAAGCGTTTGCTCAATTTACCCAAAGTAAATATTGGGGAATTGAGAAAAAGAATAAGAGAAAAACGTTTCTAGTAAAGGATAAATACTAAACGGGTTACGTAAATGTAACTAAGTTGCAATTATATATTCTTCGGTTACTTTATACTGTAACAGTGTAATATAATATTATTTTAATATTTTGCAAAGGAAGAAAGCAAATTTACATTCGTTGTCGATTGAGCGATATAATATATATATATATATATATCTAGAACAAAATTCTCTTGCTAGAAAACATAAAGATTATCTGGATAAATATTTGGATAGATGGATCCATTTATTTCATCATTCATATAATTTTCTTCCAAAACTACTACACGGTGAAAATGTGTCTTCCAATGAGCGAGAAAAGATGAAAAGGAAAATTTCGAGCTCTTCCTAGAAATTAGTAACCAGCACTGTTTATGAGATGATGCGATAAATTTCACTTTAATATATTCTCTTTTCGAATTGCTGTCGCAGCGAATAGTATATGACGCTCCCCCTTCAATTTCACGCCATCACGAAACATTGAATATTTAATCATAACGTACGTTTCAGTAGATGTATGTGATACGTACGTACGAGCTCGTCAAAATACAATAAAACTACTTCACTACTTGACGCGAACGTTAACGATGTTCTTGTGTCCCGATTAATTCTCGGTGTTTCTATCTATAGTCGGCATCACGCCCATGATTTCTATCTACCGCAGCGTGACAGCCTTTAACTCTATATATGTCTATATATTTTTTTCTTTTTTGTTTTTTAACTATATGTGCTGACCTGTATCTATATAAAACTCGTGCCTTACTTTCTGATTTGTTTTATCACTGTTTGTAAAGCAAATCCTGCTGAAGTTTTCTCACTCTGTTTGTAAAGCGAATCCTTCATCGATACAATTTGAAATTTTTTGAAAAACGACTTTCATCAGTCATAATGTCATCGACAATATTATTTTATTTATTAATGTTGTCGACATTAACGACAGTGAAGACTACGACAGACGGAATATCCAAGATCATTGTAAAAAATTACGTATCGAGATCGACGGAAGATGAAAACTTGAGAAATATTTTGAATTACGTTCAAAGCAAGCAGATATTCTCTTCATCGATATTTTCTCTCGTTTCTTCCGATGGTCGATCTAATTTCGTACATCTTTTATCTAAATACATAGCGAGCGAATCCATCGTTAGCTACAAGATCACGGCGAACAACCTCTCACGGAAGTACACGTGGCAGAGTAGCGTTGATCTTACATGGATTTTCATCATCGACAGTATGAGTATTTTGAATTCTTTTGTGCACGAACAAGGCCATATCTGGAAGGCTGTCAATCAATATTTGATAATTGTCACCACTCCGAACACGACTTCGCCGCGAGAGATTTTTCAGACAGTTTGGAAGATCTACGGTGTCTATAGGATCGTCATTATTTCGATAGAAGACGACTTTCGATGTCTAACAAGATATCTACCGTTCGAAAAGAACCGACAAAACAAATACGGTGTCGTACGTAAGATTTGTTTAATGGATCAGAAAGATAATGTCGAGCTCTACGCCAACTTGGAAAACTTGAACGGATATCCTATACACGTGATCATGTTCCCATTTTTGACAAAAAATATTACACCCTACGATTATACTACTCGTACGAATAATAATGTTCAAAATTTCGGCAAACTAGACTCGAAAGCAATGTACTTGTTGGCACAAGCGATGGGAACTGAATTTAATATCACTGTGCTTCCTTCGGTCAATTCATTTAACGGAAGTTATGATCCATTTTATGATGCTCTTAAATACATCGAGGATGGTGAGTCGGACATAATCATCATCAGTTTCTTTGTTCACCAATATAAGGGATATCGGAGGTACGAATTCACAGTTAGTCTTTATGAGGACAAAGTGTGCTTAATCGCACCCACGGCTGGTTTCGTGCCGAAATCATATATGCCAATAATGTCATTCACGTCTAATCTGTGGATGGTTTTCGCGATATACAATATTCTCGTGTCCGTTTTATGGCTCCTCATAAAATACTACAGCGTTTCGTTTCGTCGACAAAAGGCTGTTGTCCTTCCCTTAGCGAGAACGACGGAATACGTATTTTCACGGCGGTCGGATTTACCACCGAAAATACATCCTTACATTTCATCGTGCTTCAACCTCGTCGAAACCTCGTGTTACCCGCTGAAGGAGAAGGATGGTAGCACGACTGCTCAGAGAGTCTTCTTGGTCGGCACGCTTTTCTTCGGACTCATCGTTACTAGTCTCTATCAGGGTTGCCTCGTGACCAGCTTGAGCGATCCCTTTCATTACTCTGAATTGAATACTTTGAAAGAGATCGCTTCCTCGAATTTTACTATCGTTACCAAGTATAACAACTTGAAGGAGAATACGTTCTCGGGAAACACCACTCTGGATAAGAAATTGCGGAGTAAAGTCAAATTGTTAGTTTCTAAAAAGCGCACCTACGACTCCGTGGCCCTTAAGAAAATGATCGGCATCGTCCGTCATTCTATGGTCAATTTGGATGACATGTCCCAGTACTACGATGAAGACGGCAACGAACTGCTCCATTTAGTCGAGGAATGTCCGACCACTTTCATGTTATCTTTCGTAATGAAGCTCCACTCACCGTACCGAGAGAGAATCAACGGATTACTGCTACGAATGCAACAAATGGGTTTTGTTTGTCTGTGGTACGAACAAGTGGCTTATCCGTCATACGTGGCTCAACAGAAAAGGAAGATGATCAAGAGCGAGAGAAAGATTAAACTGACCATGGAGCATTACTCTCTTACTTTCGTCGGACTTACCATCGGTTTACTTTCTTGCATCGCGGTATTCTTCGCGGAAATTTATTTCGCCAAGAGATCATCAAAATCACTGTAAATCATCGTTCTCCAGTAAATCATCGTTACATTATCTAAGATCATACTATGGTACACGAAGTTAAATTGCGATATAATATCAGCTTGTTTTATTTTCAATTGACTTTTATTGTCTTCATAAGCTTTTTCATCTGCAGTAATCATAGCTCTAAACATTCAAGTACAATTTGCAACTTTTATTTTGATTAAAGAAAACATTCGATCTGATAAATTGATTCGACACGCACACACACATATTCTCGCGTGACAATACCAGATTTGATCGCGATATAGTTCGAACAACAGCTGTTTCATTCGCAACGCTCTCGAGTTTGATTAATCGAGTATTATAATACGCTATCATTTATCAATGCGCGAAAATTAGTCCTCTTTTCGCGATATAATTGTTCGAAATATAATGATGTCGCACTAACGAGTTGATGCTAAAGCGACATTCTAAAGAGAAACCGAGTTTATTTTAAGAATCTACGAAAATACGCACAACGAGTGAAAATACGCCTCTCTCTCTCTCTCTCTCTCTCTCTCTCTCTCTCTCTCTCTTTCTCTCATTTTCTTTCTGTCTTTCGATGAAGAAGAAGAAGAGAAGGATGAGGAAGAAGTTCAGTCGTGGGTCGTTATTCGATTATAGAATCATGGTTTTTGAAAGATGTGCACTATTACCAGCGATCGTAATCGTTATTTGTTTAGGTATGTACGCAATTTTCCCATGTTAATCTATATTAAATGCAGGATGTACCACGCACATATATATTTATATGTGTGATACTCTTCATAGATGTATCTTCTATAGCTGCTACTGCCGCTGCTGTTGCGTGGAATCCAAAAACATCTAGGTAATTATTAATATTTTTAAGATCGTTATAGTAAGGCTTACATTACTTCATAAAAATAACATGTTGCCATTACTTTTTATGAAAAGTAACACGTTATCGTTACTTGTTACTAATTTTAAAAAGTAATTCGGTATTTAGAAAGTAACGATTTCGTTACTTTTTTCGTAATGCTAAAGTAAAAAATTAAATTTTAAAATTATATTCTTTAACCCTAAAACACACACACACGGATCTCCCAGGCTCAATAAAAATTTTGTTTGCTTTGTACATGAAAAACGGAAGAGTTTTATTTTCTAATATTAATGTGTTATATAGCGTTGCAACCTATGTAGGTGAATTCCTAAATCTCAGAGCTTCAAAATAAAAAAAAAGAGTTTAAAAATTTATTCTGAACCCAAGTTCACAGCCTATCAAAAAGTTACATTGGGTCTTTTTTCGGAAAAAGAGTGTTTTAGGATTAATAATCAGTATTAAATTTTAAAACTTTAAGCTAAAATATAATCTATACTATAGCATCTATACTATAACTTTTCTTGCTTTTTCATGCAGATTTTATTAGAAATTGTTATTTAACAATGTTTTTTTAAACATTAATGTCGTTATTAAGAATGCATTTCAATATTCATTGTCGATGCTGAAAATTTATAGTTCATTATATCTATATGTGTACTACAAATTTTTATTATTAGCAGTGACTATCGAAATGCAGCCTCAGATATGAAGTACGAAACATTTTTCGATATTTAAATTAAATGCGAAAATAGAAATTTTATTGTCAATTGTTCTTCAGATTATACATGGGTAGTTATAACTTAGACAAGGGACCAGTATTCTACGAGGCGTACTATCCGAACACTCGTGACGCTGAGGACAAACGTTACTTCGATCAAAACACGGTATTAGAAACGAGTTTTCAGGTGCCCTTCGAAGGCATCGCGCAATCGGAAACTGCAAATCACCCTGTTACGATTAATGAATCATTCGTCATTGTGGATAACGAGATTTTACCGAGAAATCAATGGAAATTGATGGGATCTCGACGCAATTATGATCCTGCGAATCAACTCGCATCTCTCTCCAACGAACGTTCAATGATTACCGATGATAAGAATTCGCAAGTTGCGAATATCGAAAAAATTTCCAAACTCATTAGAAGAGCCATTTCCCGTGATCTAGAGAATTGGAACACTCTTGAAGAATATCTCGATCGTACTGTCCATCGACCTCAGGCACCTCAGCTGGAAATTAATAAAAATGAAGAAGGCGGTAATTATATGTTTCCAGTAAATCGTAAATTCGTCGAGATGGATTCGTCGAAACGGTCGAGTTTTGAGGCGTCGTCACCTCGAAAATTGGATGTGCGTAATGCAAAAGAACAGCCTACATATTTTGAAGAAGTCGATACGAGTGGAAGTACAAGCGGAATGAGTATCAGCGGGACAAAAGCTGCTGTCGCTGCTGATATACGACCACCGATCGATATTTCCGACTCATTACCTCCAGAGAACATTTTTCAACCACGGCCTCAGTTGGTTAAATACACGTTTTTCAAGAGACCAATGTCCTCGCGACTCGACGAACAAAATGAGAAGCCGGTGAAGCCGATCGAGCAGTCTACACCACGAACTTACGGTGACAATCTCATTCGTGAAGAAATCACCGATAATAACCGCGATAAAATAAGAGAAAATGTTAAAGTAACGTCTATCGAAATAAGCGAACAACCGCGACATAAAACGCGTCATCATCATGGTGAATTCCCTTATCGTCATCGCTCACAATCCGCTGCTTATCCGACCGTCTCATAGAAACAAAATGTATGTAATTTTAATTATTAGATTTAGGCACGGTTGCACCAACATTACTTGATTTTAAGCGAGACTTAAAACTCTATCTATCTCGTATTAAAACCGAAAGAGAGATAGAAACAGAGACAGTTTAAGTACTCTCGCTTAAAATCAAAATCACGTGGTGTAATCGGGCCTTATACTGCTTTCCGACTTTATCTCGTATCATTAAATAATACTGACTGTACTATCGCAACACTATTTATTGAATGTACCATTAAATATACATGCAATAATTACATAATTCTTTATAACGTACTTACAATAAAATATTTTCTGTAACTTATTTTTAAGAATTATTACACCAGTTAATTCTATGTCAAGAAACTCTCTTTATCTATTTTATATATTTATTTTCATAATAAGTGTGCTCAGTTTAACGAGATTATTAATGTAACTTAGACTAATCGATTCAATTATTTTTCTACATTTTCTTACATTAATCACATATTATAGATTACTCGCTAAATAGGTTTTATAATAAATAGTAAAGGACTCTTAATTTTTAAAAAACAAGGCAAGGTTAGAAAAGCTTGTAAGAGTTAGTTAAGTATTTCAAATATGTAAGATAGTCAAATAATAAAATAAAGCATTAATAATACAGAAAAATAATTACAGATAATTTTTCTGTATTGTTAATATATTTCATTTTATTATTTGACTATCTTACATATTTGAAATACTTAACTGACTCTTACAAGCCCTTCTAACATTGCCTTCTTTTTTAAATATGTTTTACATATAATCTTATCAATTTTACATCCCCTGCTAAAAAATAATTTAATTATAGGCATCGAATTGTATGCACAACGAAACCAGCGTGGACGTATCGAATTTTAGATGATTTCTGTAAAAGCTTATTATTTATAGATCATAAAACTATTACAGGAATGTTTCAAACTTCTTTTTTATATCAACTCTATTTAATTAGGATGCTCATACGAAATCTAATATATCGTAATGTAAATCAGAAGTAACTACATTCCGACGTTTCTATATCAATTATGAAGATAAATACAAGGATAAAACCGCAAGTACTTTACAAATAGTCTACTCTACTGGAACACAACCTTTTTTGGTGAATAGTCTCAGTTATCTACATCTACGATTTTATGTTTTATTTCTGTGAGTTACTTCTTGAATATTAATCTAAAACTCCTATTTTAGCGCAAAAAAACTCTTTCCATATCCCTATTAAAAAATAGATTTCTTATTCGATAAAAAAATTAGCTGCAACACGTTAATGTACTAATCGTGAAAATAAAAATATGCTTTTCATATCACTTGTTTTAAAACCATCAGATCAGGCTTAATGCAAAAATATGGAATATGCTATAAAAATGGCAATCTTTACAATTAAAAATAAATAGATATGCCACACTGTAAAAATGTAGGTTACATAGATTAGCTTCAGTTTCAACTCGCAAAATTTATGTGTGTGTATGTGTATACACAACTTTCAATTATGTGTTTATCAGATACATCTGAAACAGTAATGTTGTTGGAAACAATTCATTATTCGTGTCCAGATGAGTCATATCCAAGGATCCATTAGATTTCAATTCTTGACTATTAGCTTGTTGTCTCGTCTAAAAAATATTTTCCGATACACAATTAAGACATATGTTACTTATTTCCTTTATAAAATATTAATTCATATAATTTCATTATTATATTGCATTATCAACACTTTTTGCCATAAAGATATTATGCTATGATGACAGAAACATTATTGATATTAAAAGAAACGAGAAACATTTGATTCACCTGTACGGCAATGCGGATTATAATTGGACAATATAAAATTGCGTAAAATCTCATATGCTTTTTCCAAATTATCATTTTCTATGACAACGTCAAAGTTACCAGGTGTTTCACCTGCAAGTGAAAGTTTTAGACACAAGTATGAGTTTTAAACAATTTTTCTATAGTATTAATTGTGCGTCTTTTGTAATACATACCATATTCTAATTCAGATTTGGCAGTCAATAATCTATGTTTCAAAGATTCTTCAGTTTCTGTGTTTCTAGCTTTTAATCGTTGCTCCAATTCCACAATAGATGGTGGTTTTATGAATACGTAAAAGGGATTGAGATCAATGCGTTTTATTTGTTTCACACCTTCTATATCAATATCTAATACACATATCTTTCCTAAACGTTGTACATCTTCAACCGCTTGTTTGCTACAATGGCACTTGGGTTATATATTATTTTCTACATAATTATTTAATATTTGTGTCTACATTTACCTTGTTCCATATAGATTCCCACTAAATACAGCAGTTTCAATAAACTCTCTATTTTCTATTTGCTTTTGCATTTTTTCTTTATCTGTGAAATAATAGTGAACACCTTCTTCTTCACCAGGCCGTGGCATTCTAGTTGTATGAGACACCGAAAATTTGAAAGTATCGGGAAATTCATCAAATAATTGTTTTATTAGAGTACTTTTTCCAGAGCCCGAGGGGCCACAGAGTACCAATGGACGCGGTCCTTTGTGAATCATACTGCAATAGCCTGAAAATATATTTTTTTCTCCCATTTTATTTTTTATTTGCTATTTTGATACTCAAATAGTAAGTTACTTTCAAACACATGGTATTTGTGTGGTATCATTTTATCAAATCATTAAAATTTTCTTTTTTGCTCATGAAACTATGACCAAAACCATGGATTCTGCATACCTATTTTTATTGTCCTAAGCCATTGTATGGGCATAGCGATTAAAAGGATGTTGACTGCTTATGGCAAAATTCTGTGTAATTTAATCATACAAGAACGGAATAAGAATATAACTATTTCGAACTATTTTTTTAGAACTAGCGGGTGCTAGTTTTAAATGAAACTCATGAAAAAAATATATATAATCTATGATTTTTTTAGATTGAAATAATAACTAATTATTTACCCTATCGATTAATCATTGACAAAACACTTAAAATATTTTTAAAAAAACTATGCTAGATAAATAGTATACTTAAATAAGGTTAATATCATATTACATTAAAGTATAATAATATAAAAAATGTTATTTTAAGAGTTTCGGTAAGTTGCTATTTATAGCATCACGATTTTAATGATTACTGTAATAAAAGGAACATCTGATGAAATTTGTCGATGTAATGTGAATTTGTTTTTTTTTTATATATAAGCAAGCGGATTATTTTGAAAATGGTCAGTTATATAGATATTCTAATATATAGTTGATTCAGTGCTTTGGACTAACTATTGACGTTGAATCCAGCAATTTAATTAGCAATTTAGGCTTTTACTAATCTTTTACAACAAATCTTACCTATAATAACAGAGAAAGAGGAGTGAGAATTAATTAGATTATCTGCACAATATACTTATAGGTTTATAACCTTATGAATCATACTGATATATGCACTCTGCATATCAGTTAGAGTATATAGCACCGACAACGACTCTCCTTACCTTTGGCACTCTATATATATACAGGAGCAAATGAACGTAGTGTTATGTGTATAAGCAATATAATACAATAAAATTTAACCGTCTGGTCAACCAATATTAGTATTGACGTATATACGTCTCATATGTTTACTGGATCACACATATGTATGTATGTATGTATGTACTAACCAACGGGGGTAGGGATCATGGTGGAAGGGATGTTCCACCATGGTAGGGATATGTTCGATTTAAGATCAATTTTTTAGAAAATCGATTCTTTTATCTTCGATTCTCGATTTCTTAAATAAATTTTTCAGGCCTCATTAGGTGCATTTAAGGAGATCGATTTAGATATTTACCAACATGAAGGAAGATATAAGGAGACTCCACTCGGTCTCGCCAGTCTACAAGACATGAACCCATTTTAGGTTTCGAGTTCCGTTTCCGATTCTCGACACTCGCAGCGCTCGTGAATTTAGTAGTGCTGCGCATAATGAGTGCGAGTAAGAGAAATGATCATTTCTCTTACTCGCACTCATCAGAATCGGAAGCTGAACTCGAAACCTAAAATGGGTCTACTTTTATTTTACGGAGTGGAGTCTCCTTATATCTTACTTCCTGTTTACCAATAAGGAAGTACTAGGAAAGTACTACTCCAAGTCTAAAGGTACAGTTTCACGAGCTGCTCAAACTGGCTGTTTCAGCGACAAAAAGGATCTTATTATTAATTAATGGCTCTTGCCTCCTTGGAGCAATAGCGGAGACAATACTGCAACAAAAAGGATCATGTGATCCAAATTGACGCTTGATATTCGTCAATTTTGATCATGTGATCTTTTTTGTCGCTGAAACGACCAGTTTGAGCAGCTCATGAAAATCTACCTTGAAGCCAGAAACACATAGAAAAACTTAAGGCCATAAAGGTTGATTTATACTGGCCGTAAACTGTTAACTTATGCCGTAATCTGTAAAAATTGACCAATTATAATTGATAATTCCCTTCTCATTCGACTGTGATTGGTCAATTTTTACAGATTACGGCATAAGTTAACAGATTACGGCCAGTATAAATCAACCTTAAGACGTATCAGTAAGGAAATCGTAACATTGGATTCGCTACCGGCCTTACGGTCTCTACTGTGATTGGCCAAAAAGCTTACTGATTACATTTACGGCCTTACGTTTCTGTATGTGCCATGGGCTTAATGCATGGTCTAAATGGGCAGTAGTAGAGTACCTATAATAGAGTACCGTCATAAGACCGGAAGGACGTCATTGCTGGGCGCCAATCGAAAACTAGAAGATTATAGGATTGTATAGGACTATCTGAATTACAATATAAATTAGAAATTAAAAGGAAAATTAAGAAATACACATAATCTCTTTATTATAATACAGCAATAATTTTACTTAATCTATACTTGTAAATGTAAACCAAACATTTTAGTAGAAAGAAAATTATAACGCTATAATTAAAATATATAAAACATATATTTAAAATATATAATATATAACAGAAAACTATAATTAAAATATATATAACAGAAGTTTTGCAAAAAAGTGTGTTTTTCAATTGCTTAACATAAATGTACGCAGAAGTTTACAGAGTACAGCTTTTTACACAGCTCAATTAAAACAAAATGTGTACGATGTTTAGATTAAGTTACTCATTCCCTGATAAAAATGCTCTAGGCATTTATATCCCCGTATGTATGTTACATATAACTTACTGTTTGCTGGGATAGATATTTGTTATTCCTGAGAAAAAGTAGATTTTGTCACACATGCAGTGTATAATATTCAGAATAGTTTCTAGAGTAGCTGTTTACAATAATAACTCTTACCCATAATTGATGACTGATGCAAGTTGTCATTGAGTGGGTGAGCCAATACAATTTTAAAGGAATGAGACATATAATATATGTATGTAGTTAAAGTAATAAAATTATTTTTTTTATATTTAATAAATTAGCAAAGAATAACATTTTTCTTTTATAAATAAATGTAAAGAATTATTATTATTATTATTATTTTATTTATTATTATTATTATTATTATTTTTGTACGATTTCTTTTTACCGAGATATTTAATTTTTCATGAAATGCAAAAAATCGCAGACTTTTGGCTAGCTTTGTATGTATAGAGGAAAGTCAGCGTTGTCGACTTTTCTCTATATAAGTAAAAAAGTTGATAATTTTGAAAATTGGAATGACTTAAAATATAAAATACTATTAACAATCTCATTCAACAATACTATAGCAATAAAACATCTGCAGCATCTTCCGACATTAATAGCTTTCCTTTTAAATGTTCAATCATATTTTCCAGATTTTCAATACGCTTAAGAAGATTCCTATTCATTCTCTGTAAATTTTGAATTCTTTCTCGCCTTTTCAAATCATTAGCTTTGATGAATTTTATAATTCTTCTAGCTTTTCTAGGAGTGTTTACATCAGATGTCATCAGTTCAGAAATGTAGCGAGGTTCCATGTATTTCCGTTTCTTTGGTGTAGAACATAATTCTATTGTTGGACCTCAAATTTAAAAAATATACGTTTATGTTTTGTTACAATCGAAAGAATAAATACAATACATTAAACTTCAAGACTGTAAATATATATAAATACACAACTAAATAATAAAGTCTTAACGGTCTAAGCTAGATCTTAAATGTTTCAATAATATTTTTGGTGTGAATTTATACATATCCCGTTCTGTAAACTGTACGTCAAAATCATTTTAAGTCTTGAAATCCAATCATAAGCCGAATTGATGCATAGTAATATCATAAATATTAAATTGACAAACAATTTAATAATACTAATGTTCATACAGGCATATTAGAAAGATCTTAATAATTTGCTGATAAGCATCTTAAAAACTGTATTAATTTTACATACATGAATGTATGTACTTACTCGATATGCACGTATTTATGAGAACATTTGTTAATGCTTGCGTTTCTTGTGGTCTGATAACTTCTGCTGTCTCAAGTTTAACAACTTCTGTATAAATTTCCATAGGTACATTTATGTACACTTGTGGTTCTACGTTATTGTCATTGACAATTCTGCTTTTTTTTTTTGTCAACTCTATTTCTATTTCTTTCTCAGATGTTTGCCGTTTGCGAGAAATAATTGAAGGAATTGCTTCTGAATTCAATAATTTGTTTTTTCCGGATACTGAAACGTCCCATTTGAAATCTTCAGCACAAAAATGAGAAGAGCAAATGAACAATGCTTTTACATCATCAGCTTTCCTTAATCCGCAAAATTCCTTCCATCGCAAACAAATCATTTCATTTCTTGGAAATCTTAAAAGAATATTTTTATGATTATAATTTAGGATGTTAGTCGAGATATATATATATATATATATAGAGCTAATATAGGTATACTATAAACTTACTTGTGTAGGCAAATATTTCCATTTTTTGTTTGTTTTTTATTGCATACATAACAATACCTCACCATTTTTTAATTGAAAGGCTGACGAAGTGACGACAATAATTATAACATAACCTGCAATATATCACATGTAGCGATGTAGCACTTATCGCGCAACAAATTGACGCCTGCGCGTTACAACAAACTGAACATAAATAAGGACAGAATTAGCATTGGCGGCACCATAGTGTTTCGATCGCAAACCACGCCCCATCAGCCATTAGTATTACATATATGTTGCCGAGCAATTGAATATGATTGGTTGGATTTCTAAATAACAACCAATTATGTTCATTTGCTCAGCGAGCAGGCTAGCCGATTTGTCAACTTGAACGCGCCGAATTATTCTTCTCGCACCCAACTGTAATTGGTCAATTATCAATATCTTGTAGTTTACAGAAAATTGACAATATTTAAATCATTAAAATTGATTACATTATTGGAGTTTGAATTTTCGTTGATTACAAATGGATTTTGTATATATGCAAAACCCATCACATCCACACACACGCGCGCGTGTATACAGATGAATTTATTTTTAATATAAACATAAATTCATCTGTACACACGAGGATTTTTGGCAGTTCTACGTGTTGATCTCCATTTCAACAAAATGGTTTTCAAGTTCTTACAGATAATCGTAGGAATGTATAATTACTTATACATTATTTTGAAAAATATATAATTTAAGATTGTACTTTTCTCAAAAATAAAACGATTCTCTATAAGAATTTCTTCAAGTCAACATAAAAATAATTTATACAATTATCAATTTATTTAACAAATCATTAACTATAAGCAATAAAATAATGATTACGTGATACAATTTATTCTATTTTGTAGTTTTTTTAAACTCAAATCCACGTAAACATCGAGATTTTAAGCATTTTAAAATTACAAATCACGAGTTTAGGCGGAAATACAAGCGCACACACGCATACAAGAGACACGTACTTATACAGTAAATATCAATTCAAAAAATTAATTTAATCTAACTACATTGCACAGATAAAATTTTACATGTAATGTAAGCGAAATATTTAAATGATTAAATTTATAATTGATTACAGCTCAACACGATTATATCAGGCAACATTTTTTTCTTAGGTTAAATCTATAAGACTTTTAGCAATTATAAGTATATAAAAGAAATAATTAAAAAATAACTAAACTGCTTATTTCGACCATTACGCAATTAACTACAAATAAATATCACATTCGGCTCACTGTCATAAATGTTCTGTTATATACTTTCCACGATGATATTAATGTCATTTACAATATGGGCACTTTAAGCTACTTGTACTTTAAAACATGATTTCGTTTTCCTAAATATCTTTTATCTTGAGATAAAAGTTAATCTGTAAAAGAGATATTAAAGTTAAACTTGGGTAAGACCACTAGATTTGCCTTGTGTCCTACGACGTGCCAATTCGGACATAACCACGGGACCAATATGCGGTGATCTTGGGCTACTTGCTATTACTCGGTATGTCTCTGCAACTGCCATCTGAAAATAGAATCCAATATGAGATAGTGCAAAATTTTTTTGAAAATATACAGAAAGGAATAGTGTGACACATTTCCAAATAGATGCTACAAATGCATTTATTATTAAATAATTCTCATACTTATTATTTTTTGATAGTAATATATACCTTCAGGCTATGTGGATCCTTAATAACATCTGGCAATGCTTTTGGAGGGATACGATGTCGATTTACAATCCATGGATATTTTAAAATCATAGTCGCCGTAGGTCTTCGAGTAGGATCCAAGTGCAACATTCTCTTAACTAATTCTTTAGCTTCATTGGAAATTTGACACCATATCCCACTCTCCACATCTATATATCCTGAACCAATACGATCTAATATATCGCTGGCACTATCTCCTGGACTATTACGGAAGGGTGTGTATCTATATATCACATGACAAAATCAAATTAATTTTGACCATTTTATTATTGCATATACATATATTAAGTTATTTCATTTTCCAAATTTTTATTACCCAGCTAGCATAATGTACAATAAAACTCCAAGTGACCAAATGTCACATGCTGCGTCATACCCTTGGCGTTTCAACACTTCGGGTGCTACAAAGTTAGCTGTGTAACAGGGCGTCATTAATAAACCATTCTCCGCTCGTAATTGTGTTGCAAAGCCAAGGTCACATATACAAAGTGTTGTGGGATCACCGCCAGATTTTGTGTACAGAATATTTGATGGCTTCAAGTCTCTATGAACAACCTATTTTTTTCTTTTTTTAAGCAACAACCTCATCGTTTCGTCATATGTAAATAAATTTCGTATAGACGTACAAAAAAAAGTAACTATACAAAAATGTTTGTCATATTTATATGTTTAAAGGTCACACTTACTCCGTTCTCATGAAGATAATGCACCACACTTGTAACAGTGTAAATAACCTCGGCAGCTTCCCTTTCGGTGAAATTCTGTCTCTGTAGCAAACGATCGAGGAGTTCACCACCGCGTAAAAGTTCCAATACCAGATAAACTCGTTTATCGTCTTCGTGAACCGCTCTCAACGTTACAATGTGAGGATGCCTACCGTATCGTAGTAGAATTTCTATTTCCTCTGTCGGATCTCGTTTCGATTTCTCAATCACCTATTTTGTTAAATCATTTAGCTAGCTTTCTATTTCTACTTCGCATATCATTTCACAGATAAATTTTATTTCAATTTTTATATAGGACTTTACCTTTACAGCATACTCCATCTTGGATGCTATATGAACGGCTAAATATACCACACTGTAGCTTCCTCTGCCAATTTCATGTTTAAATTCATATTCGTCAGTTACAGAAACAGGATTAACATAGGTTGGAAAAATAGCACTAATGTTATCATAGTGCCTATATTCAGAAGATATAACATGATCCGTATCCGTAAGTAAACAGGGTGCGATAAAACTGAATCCGCGAAATAATTCATGAGCATTTGCGCTAGGTGGTACTCCAGGAGAATCTGAAAATATGCGTATCTTTTATAGTAAGGATATCAAGACATAGTTTTATATAATTATTAACTTGACAACTCTACTAACAACTCTATTCTATACCTTTCCATTTCCTTCTGTTTTCAAAAAGGAGACTTTACCTTTAGGCGTTTTACAGGTAAATTCACTGTCAAAGTAAAATGCATCGTCCTCCCTGACAGCCGGTTTAAATGGTGGCCTTATTTCTTTTTTATAAAGAGCGTCCCAATCAATGGTAGTAAAAAAAACGTGACTTTTAATCTCTTCCACTCCACCTAAGAAACAAAGAATTTGCATACAAATCAACTCTACATAATTACATATGTATAACAGCAGGTAAGCGTCACTTAAAACCCTATTATTTCTTGAAAGAAATGTGTACGACAATGCAAGCCTTTTACCAGATCCAAGGCGATTAACTGGATTCCTTTTGAATAACACTCTTAAAAGTGCTTGTGCTTCTGATGAAAGATTGTGCGGCATACCAAGTTTAGCTTTCAAGATTTGCGTCATCGTTTCTTTACGATTTGTACCTTGGAATGGAAGAGCGCCTGTTAGCATTTCAAACTGAAAATTTCAAAGGTACATGTTGTATATTTTTTTTACTTTTCTTGTACAGCTATGGTAATTTAAGGTCAGTAACCACTTCAATCCAGATATAGTACATAAAGTTCAAACCTAACCATTAAAACACCAAAACTCCACCAATCTGCTGCAAAAGTATGTCCTTTTCTATTGACAATTTCTGGTGCCATATATTCAACAGTGCCACAAAATGAATATGCTTTTGAATCATCTAAAGGTTGCTTGCTCAAGCCAAAATCTGTCAAAGATATATGGCCTTCTGTATCCAATAAAATGCTATTGCATAAAAAAAGGTTAATTAAGTATTTCAATAGCCAATACCTGTTAAAGAAGCATATCATATATATGTCACATCCTTTTCCTGAAGAGATTGATTTCATAAAAAAGCTGCAGCATATATATATCTCATATGTTTCTTTATGACATATATATATATATATATAAGTAGTATATAAACAATACAAACTTTTCAGGTTTTAAATCTCGATAAATTATTCCGAGTTTATGTATATGATCCAATGCAAGTGCTAGTTCAGCCAAATAAAATTTAACGTCATCTTCTGTAAACATTACCTGAAACATTAATTATACTGACAATTATGAATATATTTGAGAGCTTATTCCAATGCTTGTGTCATAAAACATTTGCTTGTGTTCTCTTGGTTACACTAATTGTAGAAAAGTATAGATTATATAATATGTATATATATATATATATATATATAATGATTTTCAAGAAACAATCTTACCTCCTTAGACAATCTGGAAAAGAGATCACCACCCCTTAGAAAATCTAGAATTAAATAAAGTTTTCCTTCGGTTTGGAATGCATAATGCAGCCTGACAATAAATGGATGTTCCACATCTACCAATATGTTTCTTTCCATTTTGGTTCTAACTCTATCACGAACTAAGAAAAGTGGATAATATAATAACTGCAATAATTTAAAACCTTTGCAAATGCTCTATAGTATTTCAAGATACCTTTTAAGGTTGCCTTCTTTAGAACTTTCATAGCGTATAAAGTTCCACTATCTTTTCCAACAACTTTTCTTACTAAAAATACCTATGACAGCATCAAAGAAATAAAATAAAATTATATATAAGATATATAAAAAAAATATTTAAACACTATATATATATATACACTTGGCACGTATTAGTTTTACCTTGCCAAAGGATCCTTGGCCAAGGACTTTTAATAATTCAAAGTGAGAAGGTTCAGCTTTCTCATAACCATCCCTTGTCATATCGCGTACTTCAATTTCATGAGATTCCGAGCAACCGTTTGCTCTTTCAATTAAATTTCCTTGAGTGATCATTGTTTCTTCTTGATTTTCAGCTGGAAGAATCTCTGTACTCTGCTAAACAGAAATAAAAAACGAAAAATAAAGATATTTTCCAAAATAAGATTCCATAATTTGTTAAAGTTAAAGTGAAGAAAAAATAAACAGAAAAAAGAACAACTATTCTTTTGAAAAAGCGACAGTGATTTCATGTAAAATTCGCTATTCCAAAGAAAATCCCAAAAATATTGCAACACAAGAATGTTGAGAAAAATTAAGTTTTACCTTTTCATTTGTACGATGCTCGGTCCAAGGAGCCGTTAGAGTTGCCAACGGCATTATATTTAAAGTTTTGTTTATTCTTGGGATTGTAAACGTTTTAGTGAAATACTTATATCTTTATTAAATTGTTACTAACATGTATACAAGTGTTTAACTGCAAAAAACAATTTTATTAGTTAACTGTGATTAACAAACTAACAACAGAACTCACAATCAAGCAATATTAATCACTACTACCACTCACTGCTTGCTACCACTCGCTATGTATATACATACATACCCGTATGTATACATACCATGTAGTCATATATAAAAATAAATACGCATGCGTACATAATATGCATACCTACCCATGCTTATATATAATTATTAGATACATATACATATCGTTGGTGCTTATAATAGGTACCTGAGGTGCGTTCCGAAATTTATCTCTATCAACTCCAAATATTGGGCGCATTCGGCGGACTCAACAGTGAGTGAGCGCTCGCTGTTATTGGTGTATTCTTTCAGATCATCCAATCAGAATTTTAGATCTAGAAAAATACACCAATAATAGCGAGCGCTCACTCAACTGTTCAGTCCGCTGAATGCGCTCAATGAGTGCATCTATTTAGAAGCACGACCACTCACTGAGCGCTCAGTGAGCTCTTTCATCTGATTGGCATATTCTATTAGATTCTAAAATATAAACCAATCAGATAAATCAGCTCAATGAGCAGATATTGAGTGCATTCAGTTCAGAAGCACGACCGCTCATGAGCGGTATTCATAGTCAGTTCTTGGTAATTATACAGAATACACCCACCATCTCCGATTTCGATTAAATTAGGCTCATTCGACGCGTTTTTGCACGAAACGAAAGAAAAAAGGCAGTTCTTATATTCAAGACCGTCTTAAGTTCAGTCTTGAAGAATTACGAACTAATTAGAGGGCCGCTTTAGCATCTTAAAGGTACTTTTTCATGCGCAGCACGCTGCAGCAGCAATTCGTTACTATTGGTTAAGAATTTTATGTAAACTTGATGACGTACTTGCGGCGCAAATACATTTTGCCGCAGTTCGTTGAAGTTGAACCGAACGAACAGCAAGCAGCAAGCGGCAAAATCGAGAAAGCGTACAATATGTCCGTCGTTTCATTATAAAAATATTATTTATTGCAATAAATATTAGGAAAATAAACGAAAAAT